TGTAGATTTTGATTATCATTATCATATATATATATATATATATATATATATATATATATATATATATATATATATATATATATAAATGGATAATGTCCGCCAATTATTTTTAAGACATTTTTTATGTTTATATGTTCTTTTTATAGATACAAATATTTCAGTAAATGCTCTGCTTATATTAAACAGTATTAACAACATTTACTGGCGTGAATGTCCGAGAAAAAATGTCTGAAGAAATAATGTCTTAAAAAAATAATTGTCAGTCCATTTCATAATGTGTGACGCCATTTGTTTACATTTGGATACATATCCAGCAAATATGAATGTACGTGAGAAAATCATGAAGAATTGTTGTTAAAAAACAGTAAAATCGGCCTTACTGAAACGATCCTCTGTGGCTCAATCGGTAAAAGCACGTCAGGCTATATGACTGTTCCGTATAGGATACAGGTTCGATTCCTGTCGGAGGACGAATGTTCTCTATGAAAATTTCTTGGACATTCAGGCGGGTAAATGTTATTAATACTGTTTATTATAAGCAAAACATTTACTTAAATATTTGTATCTATAAAAAGAATGTATAAACATAAAAAAATGTCTTTATATATATATATAATGACATGCACTTGAACCGACACACAAACTTAGTTTTTGCAAAAAGGCCACTACTCGATGGTAATAGGTCAAATTCACTACCTCACTAACCATTATTCTGCGTCAATAAACTCGGCTTGCATTTGAATTGATTCATTGAACTAAAAACTTGTGAATAATCCGCACAGAACGCATGAATAATTCTCTTCGGTGTCAATCAACTTTGCCAGCTTTGCTGCTTTTAAATTACAAATGTCGCCATTTGAACAAAATTTGAAACCAGGTTGAATTAAAGTTAATGAGTCAAACCAGTTTGTGTTATGGCCACAAACCACTACTTATTCAATCATGGATGAACTGGAAAAGATACTTTTTGTTGTTGTTGTTGTTGTTTTAAACTTGTAAGTTTTCCGAGATACTTCAGTAAAATGATCACTTATTGTTTATAATTATAGTTCAGTTATGTGGAAGAGGAAGGCGGCATTTAAAACTGACGACAAAGCTTCAAGAAAAAGAAAGAAAGAGCAATGTCTAAGAAAGAAAAAAAGAAGAAAGAAAGAAAGAAAGAAAGAAAAAAGACAAACAAGAAAGAAATAAAGAATGACCAAATGAAAAATGGACGACTAGAAAGAAAGAAAAAAAGAAAGAAAGAATAAAAGAAAAATGAACGATTAGAAAGAAAGAAACAAAGAAAGAAAAACGACATATATAATATAGGTTAAAAGACGCTGCAGAAAGAAAGAAAGAAAGAAAGAAAAAAAGAAAGAGCAATGGCTAAGAAATAAAGAAGAAAAGAAAGAGAGATTAATGTCTAAGAAACAAATAGAAAGAAAGAAAGAAAAATAAACGACAAACATATATCGCTCTCATGCTTAAACTTGTCTTTTTTATCCATATATTGTGACCATTTTGATTAAATTTCGTATAGTTCTTTAATTTCAGCTGAAAGTTTGTAAATGTTCCAAATTATTCAATGAAAGTTTTATAGCTCATAATAACACTTTACGTTTATTAATAAAATAAAATGCGTTAGTTTATACTGACGCCAGTGAGATATGCATGAAAAATAAAACTAAAACAGGTTTCTTCGTAATACCGCCTTCCCTAGACGGATATGAAATAACAAGTTAATTTCTTAAGCCTGTAAATCATTGAAATATTTTTCTATCTTCTGAAAGCATCTGTCAATACACCGTGGGTGTCTTAAAAGAAAAGGCGGTGCTGAGATCACATCGAAACAATTTTGTGAGTGGGTGTTACCCTGACTGAAACTGTATTGCCTAATCCACCTGCAACAACACCCGAAAACAATGATGAACTGTTTAAAAGGTCAAAACTTGTCTTCTGCTTCGTCAATTCAGAATAACGTATTTTCTGAAAGATCATACGCCTTCGTTTTGCTCTACTAGATTCTTCATATTTACAGCTGCTAAACAGAAATAAAGAACCTCTTGACAATAACAGGCAAACTGTTCTGTTCATCAGTCAATGAGCAGCTGAGTTTCGAAATTAAATCGCTTTTTCAACTTCCTTCTTACAAAAATACTGGAGCATATTCGATTTAGATTACTAACGGACTGTGCCCAACTCTCGGCGAAAAATGCGATGCTTCTCGTGATAAAACACTCCTTTCATTTAAAATAAACAATAAAATTTTATTGCTATGTCCACAAAAGGAAAACTGGGGTCTTTTTATGGATGTTGCTTCATTTTTATTAACATTATGAATTCTGGGTTAAGACACTACAAAAAGAAAAAAAGAAATCTTTGTAAACTTTTCAGACAAGCGTAGAAACGTTCAGATTTGTTTTAAAGTGGCAATGTTCGAAATATTTCAGTAAAATGCTAAAAAAAATAGATCGGCAATTTCAAGGTTTACTTTAAGGTAAACTATCGCCCTGAAGATTGGCGCAACACAGTCTTTGTATTAAAAATGTTCAATTTCTCAAAATAAGCAAAACTTAATGAGCATTGACTTAGCTTGTTGTTGCAACTCAGGCAAATGTTATTTTTCGAAGGTCAGTAATTTAAAGCCGAATTTTCAATTATAACGTTGCTCAGTATTTCTAACTCCATTTCTACCTTGTGTTATAGTAAGCATCAAGACAAAACAAGGAGTATAGTTTTAGTTTTGTTCTCTCTCTCTCTCTCTCCCTCTCTATATATCTAGCTAGCTATATATATATATGTGTGTGTGTGTGTGTGTGTGCGTGTGTGTGTGTGTGTTGCTAGCCCAAATTTCGTGGAATTTGAAAAACGTGAATTTAATGCAATACAGTCTTATGGTACTGAAATTTTTGAGCAGTACACTTTATGAGATTGCTTGGATTTCACACACACACGCACACATATATATATATATATATATATGTGTCTTTGGTCATTTGGTCAAAATTTAGGAAGCCGGTCGGAACAAGAACTTATACTGTTTTATTATTATTATTATTATTATTATTACTATAAAGCGAGTGATCCATATACCAAAAAAAAAATGACGCTTGTCTACAAATATCTGAATGTCAATCTGGCCATGAAGTGCATAACCTTGCAGGTAGGCATGAATTCGAAATAACTTCAGGTCAGGCAACCAACTCCGCCGAGAGGATCAGTTGAGAATGTTCTCCGGTATAAAACCAGAGTCCAAGTCGCCTTCGCTGCTTTATAGTTAAAACTTAAAAAGTAACCCTCACGACACTTAACTTTATTATTATTATTATTATTATTATTATTATTATTATTATTATTATTTTATTTTCTTTGATTTCTGACGTTTTTGTTTCTTTCGGGTCCCGTCCAGGGACCTAAGGTTGTAGAAATGGCGTCATAACACTTTCCACTGACAAAAAAAAAAAATTAAATTACATAGATAAAGCCCTTCGTAAGGTGTGGGCTGTACTTGTCAGAACAATTTTTGTATCTCCTTGAGGCATGGACTTCCAGGAATCCCTTCAATTAGTCTACTGCAATCTTTTCCAAATCAGTCCTAGGGCTCCAACTAGAACAGGGATTGTTGATGTTCCCATATGCCACATTTTCGAGATTTCTATTTCAAGGTCCTTGTATTTTGACAACTTTTTGAATATCTTCAAAGATACATTGCAGTCAGCAGGGGACTGCCATATCAATAAGGAGGCACCGTTTTTTGTTTGTGGTCTTTAATAACAATGTTCAAGTGGTTGGCCTTGATTGTTCTGTCAGTGTGTATTGTGTAGTCCCATAGAATTGTAACAGGTCCTATCTCCGTAACCGGGTCTGGGTGGTGCTCATACCAGTTTCTTTCAGTTTTCTTCCCGTAGAAGTTGCAGATTTTCCAGTGCAAGGATTATTATTATTAATATTATTATTATTATTATTATTATTATTATTATTATTATTATTATTTCCTTTGATTTCCTTTGTATACACAATTACTTCCAGGTCCCAACCAGAGCTCTAAAGTAACCAGAAATAGCTTCATGGCATTTTCTACTGATCATTTTTGTTTTAAAAAATCTAAAAGAACTAAGATCACACACATTTTACATAGATAATAATAATAATAATTATTATTATTATTATTATTATTATTATTTCGACTAATACGTATTCGTTATATTTTTAAACTAACAAAAAACAAGTAATTTAAACGAAAAAAGTGGAACTTGAATACCGAAAACAAATTTAAGATATTTAAAAAAAGAAAAAGAAAAAGAAACCAGGCTTTTGAACTGAATCGTTTATGATAAATGTCGAAATCAAAATTTCTTTTTCTGATGTCATTCTTTTCAAATTGATGTTTCCGAAAAACCCGGAGCAAATTTACGCTGTTCTTGAAATCGGGAGGTTTTTTATAGCTAAGAAATTTCTTTCGATGTCGTTTTGAAATATAAGACTTATTCGAAAAATATTTTACAGAAAATCTTCACAAACATGGGTTTTGTTTTTTCTGGGTTGGCAGTTTTTTTTCACATTTTACTTATATAGCGGCGATTCGACAAGAAGCAACGATATAATGAAACCATATTATTATTGACTATTTATGAAATTCTAAAGATATTAGTTTTGTTTGGAAATTTTTTTTTCTTTTTATCTATCTAAAAATATCTGTTATTTTAACGTCATTTTAGATTTTGCTGAGAAAAACAAATTATTTCGTCAACGTTCTTAGAATGAAAAGACATTTTATTTTATTCATTATCCTTAAAGATTTCTTCGGCCTTTTCTCACTTTAATCTCGTCCTTTTCACTTAATTTTCTTTTCTGTATTCTATTCTTTCATTTTTTCTTTTTTTTTTTTTTGCAACCCTTTTCTAGAAAATTCTGTTTCGTTTGCTAGATTAACTCGTATATGTAAAATTAGTTCTTCATGTATCTCATGATAAAGTAGAAATTATTAAGATTGTCACAATTCAATTCACTCTAATGATTACGACAATATCACGTTGAAAAACTAGTTCCCGTACAATCACAGAAGTTAAGCAATGTCGAGTCTGGTCAGTACCTAGATGGGAGACTGCTTGGGAATACCAGGTGCTGTAAGCCTAGATGTGCGGGTGGTGTAATAGATAATGGCTCGGATTTGTTAATTGAAGAGCTGAGTTCCAATTTCAGTTGAGTTCGTTATATTAATTTATGTACAAATACCCTTGTACAAGGTATCAATCTACCTTTTCTGCCCCCAACTATGGGTTAATTATCTGTATCACTAAATATTTATTATCTAAAAAATAAAAATAAAAACAATTCTTACAATCTATAAATATTTTCTGGCTTTAAATAAACTACTAATCCGTTGATGAGTCTTAGAAAACGACTCAATCAATCTGTCTAATGATTACAACTTTCGACATCGTGGTAAAACAAAATAATCTCAGTTGTATTTTAGCGGTGAATGGTAACGGCAGTAGTAACCATTTCCTTATAAGGAAACATTCGCCATTCATTGACAGAGCAGCCAGTGCTTCTCGAGTTACAACTTTTATTCACTCTCTGGACATGGGGCTGAGATCAAAGTGTAGTACCTGTTCTCTTAAACTCTAATGATAAAGCGGAATATTAGCCGTTTCCTTATAAGGAAACATTCTGCACTCATTGACCCAGCTTCAAACAACTATATTTGGCTTTTCATAAATTCATAAAGTTTTTCTTTTCGAAGTGTTTTTCAGACAAATAGGTTTGTCAATTCCAATAACTCTTATCGCTCTTTCCCGTACTGAAGGCGATTTTCCTTCCTAATCTTTTGTTGGAAGTAGTGAGGAACATCTTGATTATGTCAGTATTTTCTCTTCCAGTTCCATGTGCTATCCATTTTAGTTATCACTGCTGTTGAAAGTCATCAAGTGATGTGGTTTCTGTTATTTGGTAAACTTCTTTGTTTGTGATTCTCTAGCGTCAGTATACTAGGTACGAAGAAGGATAGTCCTCGCTAATACCTACATGCTTCATTCGCTCGAATCTATATTTAATTATCGATCTTAGAAAACGGTTATATAGAGTTTCGATATTACTGAACAGGTTTCTCACCAAGTATGATGTTTATATTAAAGTCACTATCTGACGATCTTATTTAAAAACATGACAAGTTTTGGGGTTATTTTTTTGGTTTTGTGGCAATTTCCGGTGTTGGTCGAAACTACTCCTACCTGAAGAGGCCTATGTAGCACACGAAGGCGAAACGCGTTGTCTATCAAAAGCTTCTCCACTCATTATCTCCACTTTTGTGTGAATAGTATTCTACATACTATTAATACGCATATGCACATACATACAATGCATGCATAAAAACAAACAGAAAACCTCTTTACCAACGCGTTTCGTCTGCTGATGTATTTTACCAAGGCAAATGATCGGAGGACGAAACGCGTTGGTAAAGAAATGTTTTCCCTTTGCCTTTATTCATATTGTTCTATTACACATATATTTGTATTTATATCTTAATATGTTTCACAGACACACACACGCACACACACACACATACACACAAGAAGAAGAAGAAGAAGAAGAAGAAGAAGAAGAAGAAGAAGAAGAGTTTTATAAATGTATCGGTGGGGGTAGGTAATTGAAAAGTTTTTTGGGGTTTTTTTTGTTTTATAATCCAGCCTTATATGTGCTTAAGATGAATTTCTTAATATGTAGGCAAGGACTCAAAACGTCCGAATTCTGTTTTTAAAGGTTCTTTGGGTCACTTTCTACAGAAATACGTGTAGCAGAATTATGGGGAAATAGAGGATTAATATATTTTTAAAATAAAAATATCCATATAACTCTCTCCTCTCTCTCTCTCTCACACACTTTCTTTCTCTCCTCCTCTATATATATGTATATATATAATATATATATATATATATATATATATATATATATATATATATATATATATATATATATATATATATATATATATATATATATATATATATATATATATATATATATATAAAATGTGTATGTATATAAATATGTATATATATATGCAATTTTTATATATATTATTTATATATTATATATGTGCGGTACTTATTGGAAAGCGCTCAGTATCAGAGATAGAGTTAACATATTTAGTTGATTGGTGTGCGTTTTGACCATGGGTTTCACGCTATTTGCGATCGTCAGACAAACTGATTTCATTTTTGCGTAAGTATGAGTGGGCGTCCGACGACAATTTTTCCCTTCCACTTCATAAAAAAACAATTGATATACGCAATCATATATAAATCAATAATTTCAAAATTAATCAGTTTGTCTGATGATCGCAAAATAGAGTGAAACCCAGTGTCACAAACTCATGAATCCAACTAAATATATATATATATATATATATATATATATATATATATATATATATATATATTTATAAAGTCCTTATTTTATAAAAAGTTAAAAGCTCTACATGTTATTTTTTACTTAATTTTTTCACACGTGTATTGAACACTTTAACTATTGTTTCTGGTCTGATTCACCTCTAACCATTACCCTTTTATGTAACACACGCACACACACACACACACACACACACACACATATATATATATATATATATATATATATATATATATATATATGATCATTTATTCGAGGGTTCTCAAGTGATGGTGTTGAATATCAACACCATCTTGAGAAGACATTAGCGTTTGAAACAAAATGGCTTATTTTTGTAGTGATTTTATAACATATTTATGTTATAATTTTCGAATAAATTCTTATTGAGCATTCTTTAAGTAGTATTTGTTGGTTATTGAATTTATTCCGTATACACCAATCCTATACTTGGTGTATATTTATATATATATATATATATATATATATATATATATATATATATATATATATATATATCATTTAGTATTTATACTTCCCAATGTAAGCCTGAATTAATATGATTATTTTTTCTTCACTTTCCTAAAATTAAAATTTTTATAAAAGACTCTCTCTATATATATCGGTATTACTCAAGGACGTTTTGCAAATATTCTCGGATTTGGTACAGAACACAAGTATTCCCAATGCAAACTTTAATCGAAAATGATGAAAATCTTTTTTTTTTTTTCTTTTCATTTAGAAATATATTGGTTGGGAAATTGGTTTTGAAGTGAAAATTGCGTAACACCGAAAAAAAATGGAATTTACAAAATGATTTCAAACCGTGTCTATCAAGCGGCTAAGCTTATTTTCTATTTGTTGAGTTTTAACATTTAATCTAATCTTTGACGTATAAAATAGAGTTGTTTGTAATCAAGAGACTTTTGTAAGGAATAAAATTTCCTTTTTATATTTAGAATAAATCGTTAATATCTATCCCATCGATAGATAGATAGATAGATAGATAGATAGATAGATAGATAGATAACGAAATGGATAGATACATAAATAGAGAGAGAGAGAGAGAGAGAGAGAGAGATGAAATGACTTAGAGAAAATTTTGGCGATATAGAGAAGCAAAACTTCAGGCATTATTCTTTTGTGTATATATTGAAATACATGGGCATCTCTCTCTCTCTCTCTATATATATATATATATATATATATATATATATATATATATATATATATGTGTGTTTTGTTTGTAACCCGGGAAAACTAAACGCATATTGAAAATGCGTCATAATCTTTCAGAAAAACTGAAGTGGTTTTCGTTCATCAAGAGGGTAGCAATGATGGCTTACATAGTTTCAGGCCCCCAAATCATTTCCCATCCTTTCTTACCTACTTTGCCAGTCAATCACACCTGTCTTTCTTCCCACGAGGACAACGTGTTTTTTTTTCTTCTTCTTCTTCTTCTTCTTCTTCTTCTTCTTCTTCTTCTTCTTCTTCGTCTTCTTCTTTATCTTCTTCTTCTTCTTCGATTCTTACCGAATATTCTTCTTAACCGATCCTTTGTCAGCCTATAGAACCGATACAGGCAAAAACATCCGTGCCTAAACCCGTGACTCTTTAACCAGTGCAATTTTTAACCAGTCCGCATTTCTTGTCCCCCTTCACACCTTTGATAGAAGACACCTTAGACGTAATATTGAGAATAACAATTTCACCACTGTTCATTTGTTCAATTCCAGACCCACTAATGGACAATATCTTTTTACTTTCTGTCACCTTTCTAGCATTTTAGGCTTTTCAGTTTGTTGAATGTTTGGATAAGCCATGATTCAGTTTACAGCCAATGGTGTACAATATTATTTCATTAAAAAAATTTCATGTCGCTTTTTTTTTAAAAAAAAAAAAGCAAATGTCATCTATAAGTAGATTAACATGTGAATTATATTGCTTTTAATTTGGTCTCCTCATACCATATGGATTCTTCGTGACGTTTAAATTGAATACAGTATCTAAAATGATAGACTCTCAAAATTATTTATTATAAGAGATTTGACAATATAGGAGACCAAGCTGAAATTGGATAGGGTTGAACCGACTTGAAAGAAGTAGCCAGTTTCATCAAGTTTTAATGTGCTTTATTAATCACTTTACCGTAAGCAAGGCGATAATGCCACTAAGACGCAATGGGCTACTGGTACGGAAAAAGAACGAAAATAACTTTAGAAGGAACCGGAAGCCCAATCCCTAAACAGGGAACAAAAGATAAATCTCTACCCTTGTTCAAAAGACTGTGGAGAAGTGTGAACCGGGCGATAAGCGAACTTAGCCACTTTTATTGAGAACAAAAAAATATATATAGTAATTAAAATTTCCGAGTTTAGGCGGAGACGTTAGAAGTATAGAGCTGAAGTAGATTTTAAAAAATACGGAAATCCAGTCAAGAACAGGAAACAAGGGATAAATCTCTACACTTGTTCAGAAGACTGAGGAGGAGTGTGAACCGGGCGGTAAGTAATCCTATCTAATCTCATTCAGGAGAACAAAAGAATAATTAGTAAATAAAATTAGAGAGATTAGAAGTATAGAGTTGAAGTAGATTTCAGAAGGAAGCAGAAAGCCAATCCTAAACAGGAAACGAAGGGATAAACCTCTTCTCCTGTTCAAACGACCAGAGTGAAATGTGAACAGGGCAATAGGCGAAACTATCTACTAGATTTAGGTTATTCAC